AGGCAAGGATGTATTTTAAGTCCTCACATTTTCATTATTTTTATAAATCAACTATCACAAATGCTGGAGAATGATGGGGGAAGAGGTATTTTTATATCTTAACCAGCCAAGGATGTTAATTCTCTTCTATTTGCTGATGATGTCTCATCTGTATCTGACAGTGCTATGCAGTTCCAAAGGAAAATTAATGTTGTTGAAAGGTTTTGTGCAGAGACTGGAATGAAGGTGATTCTGAAAAAGACTAAAATAATGGTATTTCGCAATGGAGGTCCGCTCAGGGATTATGAGAAGTGGTATTTAAATGGAACACAAATTGAGGTTGTTAATATGTATAGATACTTAGGTATTGTGTTTAATCCAAGATTATCATGGACAAAAGCGAAAACCTGTTTATCGTCTCAAGCGACGAAAGCCATATTTTCTATCAACAATTATCAAAAACGTTTTGGATATATTAACCATCATTGTTTAAGATATTTGACTCTATGATTGCACCAATACTCTGTTACGGATCTGAAATATGGGGAACAAGCTACTGTAAAATTATTGAAACTGTGCACACCAGATTTTTCAAGTCATTTCTTAAAGTTAGTAAAACTACCAACAACCACATGGTTCTGGGAGAGTGTGGGAGAGCTCCCTTCCAGTATCAATATATCTCAAGAGCAGTCAAGTACTGGTGCAGACTGATACAGATTCCACGAAACAGACTTCCTTATCAGGCATATCTAATGTTGAAAATTCTCGATGATAATGGTAAAACAACATGGGCTTCTCATATTAGGCTGATATTATTCCAATATGGATTTGGTTTCTTATGGATATCTCAAGAAATTGGCTGTATATCCACATTCATGGAAATTTTTAACAGAGATTCTATGACTGCTTCACTCAATCTGGCATGCATCACTATTTTCGTCACCCCAAAAAGGAAATACTATTCACAATTTAAATCATATGATCTCTAAGCGTCGAACCGTATTTAACCAGGGAATTGCTACCGAATCAACGTAAAATCATAACTCAGTTTCGGTGCTGTAACTTCAGACTCGCAGTGGAATGTGGCCGTCAAACAAACACCCCGTATAATGAACGTCTCTGCCTCTTTTGTCATGCTGCTGGCCTTGATTACATCGAAGATGAACTCCATATTTTGTTAATATGTCCAAAATATTCCAAACAAAGATCTGATTGTTTTTCAATACATCTGACTCAACCACCGACAATTGAAACCTTCATCCGATTGTTGTCATCAGGCAATATACATATTTTAAAATCATTGAGTAAATATCTTTCACAAGTTCGCCGTAGAAGGAATGAATAACTGTAAAACAAATCAATACTAAACTTTACTTAGCTTTACTCAGTATGTATTAACTTTTGCCAAATGTATGTATTATGGGCCTTTGGCCTAAATTACCGAATAAACCTGTCTGTCTATCTGTAAATTGCACAGAAAACTGACAAATTCAACTTTTAACAGCTTGAACAAAAATACTTGAAATACCTTTGTAAGGTTTACATGTAATAACTTATGATATTACTTCTGTCTATGTCAAAGAAGTTTTTGAATTACCAACTTACTGTATTTTGTGACAAACGTAGTAAAAGATTTCATTGTTGTAATAACACTGACATGTATTATATTCGATGCAAAGGCGCGACTTATCACTTTATATTCCATTAGGTATTATGTGTTACGATATTTCTATAGCGCACATATCCAGGCAACTAGTGCTTGCTCAAGGCGCTGGTAACATTATCAACTTTAGAGTATGGAAAATAACTAGTTACAATTCAGTAAGCTTTAAATTAGTAAGTTAAATTATGTCTAATCTATACGAGCTTGGATGTATAATTATTTGGGTTTATACATTATGTTTCATTATATGAAACATGAAAACGTAATAATACCTAAAAATTAAATTCAAACTATTCTAGTGTGTTTGAATTCTTTTTATGTCCTTGAAATTTTGATATTGTTTCCTTTTTATCCCACCGGCATGTAATGCGGTGGGATATAGTCGTCGCCTCGTCCGTCTGTCCGTCCGTCCGTCCGTAATCATTTTGTTTCCGGAGCATAACTCAAAGACCGTTCGATATTTTTTAACCAAAATTGGTAGATATGTCAAACATAACCTAAGGTGGTGCCTTTTGCTATTTACAGATTATTGTCATTTTTATTTTTCTCGGTTTCCATGGAAACGTTTTGGACTTAGTCTTAAAGAAGGGTGGGCTTCGTTTCCGGAGCATAACTCAAGAACCGTTCAGTATTTCTCAACAAAACTTGGTAGATATATCAAACAGATCCTAAAGTGGTGCCTTTTGCTATTTACAGATTTTTGGCATTTTTATTTTTCCCGGTTTCCATGGAAACGATTCGGACTTAGTCCCAAAAGTGAGGGGTGGGCTTCGTTTCCGGAGCATAACTCAAGAACCGTTCAGTATTGTTCAACAAAACTTGGTAGATATATGAAACAGAACCTTGAGTGGTGCCTTTTGGTATTTACAGATTTTTGTCATTTTTATTTTTCCCGGTTTCCATGGAAACATTTTGGACTTAGTCTCAAAAAGTAAGGATTGCTTTCGTTTCCGGAGCATAACTCAAGAACCGTTCAGTATTTCTCAACAAAACTTGGTAGATATATCAAACAGATCCTAAAGTGGTGCCTTTTGCTATTTGCAGATTTTTGGCATTTTTATTTTTCCCAGTTTCCATGGAAACATTTTGGACTTAGTCTCAAAAAGTAAGGATTGCTTTCGTTTCCGAAGCATAACTCAAGAACCGTTCAGTATTTCTCAACAAAACTTAGTAGATATATCAAACAGATCCTAAAGTGGTGCCTTTTGCTATTTGCAGATTTTTGGCATTTTTATTTTTCCCGGTTTCCATGGAAACGATTCAGACTTAGTCTCAAAAGTGAGGGGTGGGCTTCGTTTCCGGAGCACAACTCGAAAACTTCTCAATGTCTTTCAACAAAACTTGGCAGATATGTGAGGCAGATCCCAACGTGGTGCCTTTTGCTACTTACAGATTTTTGGCATTTTTATTTTTCCCGGATTCCATGGAAACTTAGTCCCAAAAGTGAGGGGTGGGCTTCGTTTCCGGAGCATAACTCAAGAACTGTTCAATATTGTTCAACAAAACTTGGTAGATATATGAAACAGAACCTTGAGTGGTGCCTTTTGGTATTTGCAGATTTTTGTCATTTTTATTTTTCCCGGTTTCCATGGAAACATTTTGGACTTAGTCTCAAAAAGTAAGGATTGCTTTCATTTCTGGAGCATAACTCAAGAACCGTTCAATATTTTTCAACTAAACATGGTAGATATATCAAACAGATCCTAAAGTTGTGCCTTTTGCTATTTGCAGATTTTTGGCATTTTTATTTTTCCCGGTTTCCATGGAAACGATTCAGACTTAGTCCCAAAAGTGAGGGGTGGGCTTCGTTTCCGGAGCACAACTCGAAAACTTCTTAATATCTTTCAGCAAAACTTAGCAGATATGTGAGGCAGATGCTATTTGCAGATATTTGTGATTTATTATTTTCTCAGTTTCCATGGAAACAATTTGGACTTAGTCTAAAATCAAGCTGGACTTTAAGTAACTGTCAGATGATTTGTTCTTTCAAAGATGTAGGGGCCGGGGGGATATGTCATCTTCTGATGACTCTTGTTATTAGAAAGTTGAAGAAAATATAATATTCAGTAACCTCAAAACCATTACATCTAATTCAATCAATGTGCATAAGAAGTATTTTATTATCCATTCCCAATGAAGAGTACCAGACACTTACCTCTGTAAAAGCATCATAATCCCCTTTCTCGCCGACATGTGTTCATTTGCCAAATGCTGTATAAGCCTATGATAATGATTAGCAATTCCTATCAAAACACTTTAAATACTTCTTCTGATTGACACTAAAGGTAGCATCTCTCGTAAGAAAGGCTAATATTTGCTCAGCCCTACTAAATTGGTTGAAATAATAGGTACAGTGCGATTTTTAAAGTACGACACACACATGTGCGTCTCTCGCTGAATAAGAGGTGCTTTCTGTTGACGGATATATGTGGCTCTCGCTGTGAGAAACCGCCAATTACCTGCCCCATAAACACGTCACTCGCTGTGAGGAGCTGATTAATTTGCCCCATATGTGCGTCTCTCGGCCTAAATTAGTTAAAGACACTCTTGAACACATTCGTAGTGATCACGAATAATGAATAATTTGAATTCATGGAAGGGATACGGTTGGATTTCCCGAATTCACGAGTGAATTGAAGCAGAACTAATGGAAAGTCAGGATAAATTTAAATATTTCCCCGTTCATTTGTAGAGGTAAGATGAATCATGATTCAAGATTTCCCACAGGTCGTTAATTCTGCACTAAACAAACGTGTCAAGAACAAATAAATGTGTTGAATTATCAGCCAAATCTTGAAGTGCGGAACCCAGCACACTACCGTGGCTGAGGTGTATTGCAACAAGAATAGGCTACCATTTACAAAACCACAAACTTTAGAAATGTTATCTTTTCGCCATTTTGAAACCTTATATTGAATTAGTGCCGTATTTTACAGGGAGAACAGAAACAGAAATCAACACGCTTATTTTTGAGAAATTGAAAGAGTGGCCAGGAACAAAACACAAGTACGATAAAAGCTGATATTTATGAAGATGGTTTTATGTAAACATTCCAAAACCAATCTCTAATAATTTGTATAGAGTGAATAATAATCTGATTGGTCTTTCAGTGCAAGAAACATTTCATATAAACGGCAAACTCCAGTCAAATTCAAACGTAGATGAGTGTAGAAGAAACAACTCATGATAAGAAAGGTCGAAGTTTTCTAATACACTATTTCAAGTTCTTTTCGTTCAGGAGACAACACAACTGCAGAAGTAAGCTTTGACAATATTTTGCTGTTTATGCTCTTGTTCCTTCTGATGGTGGTGCTTCAGTACAAATAACTTCCCTTACACGTGTAAGCATATTTCTCACAGAGTACTCAGTTTTCTTTAAACTGTCTCGATATTCCTTCCGTCGAAGTGGATCTGCTGGACACCACACCTCCTCTGGCCTCAAGGCCAGTTTGATACTCTGAAATGTAAATGTGTTACTTTAGTTTTTGACTTTACATAGAAAATGAATCAGTCCAATTCCAATGTGTCCAATGCTCGCATGAATACAGCAGCAAATGCAGTGGTCCATTACTTGGTCAGCAGTAGGGGTGACTATTGAGGGGGGAACAGCTATTTCGATAGCGATAGTCTACTGCAATATACTGTTGCAATAGCGATAGTCTATTGCGACCAACCATAGTGTTTTCTCCTTGAATTGCCTCATTTAAAGTCATTTCCCAAATGCATGTACAGTTTATATGAAATAAAAACAAGTCGAAGTAGTTTGAGTCATTTCAGACAAGAAACTTCAAACCAAGATCTAGTAAACAGTTAAAACAAAAACTTATTGTTATTCACAATTTCAAACTCCAAGTCGCGTGCCGTGTATGCCGCAATGTTTGTTTAAGAGGTAACAGGGGCGGATAACTCTAATTCAAAGTGAACGAATCTGGTACTTCCTGTATTTATCAACGGAAGTCAGTTACTTAACTATCGAAAGTCACACATACTATCGATGCATCGAAAGTTTTTCGTTTCTACCATCGATTAATTGTTATCGGACACTCAACAATTGCAATCCATCGATATTTCGATGCATCGTTACAGAACTAGTCAGCAGTGACACTGATAAAGTTACTAATATAGTTTTAAATCATCTACATTTTTCTGGAAATCCTAGTGAGTGAAGCGGCGTAAAACCAAACTCAGTCAGTCAGTCAGTCAGCCTAGTGAGCGGGCGGGCGAGTGAGTGAGTTTTAGCATTATTCCAGCAATATTACGGGGGTGGGGGGTGAGGGGTGTGCGCATCAGAAATGGACTTCACATATTTTGCTCATGTGGGGAATCAAACACGAGATTGAACCACTAGACTTCCCATGGAAATCTTAGATTCCGGATATATGCACATCTTTGAGTTACCCATGCATTCTCCTTTTCTGTCAATCATTCACATTTTCTTTCAATTGACAGTCTCAGATATCCTTAATGATATAGTGTTTGATAAACTGTTTGTATGCAATGGGCCTCAACCATATCCTGCATTGTCAATCTAAAACTAACAATGCCAGTAACACTGAACCTTGGCAGGTACCTCTTTGAGTGTGTGGGACACCAGGTGCTTCCTCACTGCTTTGATGGCATAGATTGGCAGAGGAATAAGTGGAGCTGATGCAACGAACCAACCAATGACACTGGCATAACCTGGATACGTGTACTTGCCATAGGAAGGTGGTTCATATCGTAGTAGGGACAGTAACAGCACGGCCTGAAACAGCCATAATGGTTGAAAAAAGAATATGGAAAATGGTTGATTAATATGGATTCCTCATATAACATGCATTCCGGTGACATTCAACTACAAGTCATGTTTCACGGGAATGTACGAACGAATGTTAATAAACATTGATTGACAAGTATGTTGCTGCTTGCATCTGTGGTTATACTATATAATACTAGCTCGTTGAACTGTTTTCTTACATTTTCAAGATTAAACCCTTGAAATCCCAATGTTCATGTTAAAATGTGCCAAACTGTAGAATTTGGATCCACCCCTGAATTACTTACCAAAAGCACTGCAGGAAGTACGAAGGCCCAGAGAATCTTAAAAGGGGTTGCAAGGGGTTTCCCTAGCATCATCTCAATATCATTGCTGAACTGCTTCAAACCTTGAGTAACAAGAAAAGTCTTTAAAAAAGGCAACGTTGGAGACACGAGAGTAAATCAAGAAATTTAGTGAGAAGTGTGAGATGATTTGTGTGTGGGTGGGGGTGAAACTGATTTCACAAGCATCACGATGATCATACCTCCGTCTTTTAAAGACTTGCTTCTATTAGAGATCGGTACTCACATCGCAAATACGGTACTCTCATCTCCAGTACATGCCATTTCATATCAAAGGTCTTTGTTATGCCTAACCATGTGTGGAAATGAAGTTCTAGTGACGGACAGAGGACACATGGTCCTTTATCTTACCTCACACATAAATGTCACTTTCTGATTGGCTGAGCGCTCTTCTTTTATTTTCAATGTACCCCGCTTACAAGCAGGTAACATTTCAATGTACCCCGCTGTCAATGGCTACTCATTTGGTACTTCGTGGTAGTAATTCTTTATCTCGAATAACATTGAATCACGTTTGATGTACGAACATTACCGATGTTTTGTGAATGGAAATCGATGGAAGGGAGATAACTCTAAATCTGTGTTTCTTGTCAGCAAAATCTAGCGATGGCTAAAAAAAGATTGTACCCGTGCTTCAAACAATTCAAAATTAATATTAAGGTGTTCGGTAAGATAAATACGTTGTTCACTGGTCCCTCGGGGCCCATGGGTTTCAATGTACCCCGCTGTCAATGGCTACTCATTTGGTACTTTGTGGTAGTAATTATTTATCTTGAATAACATTGAATCACGTATGATGTACGAAAATTACCGATGTTTTGTGAATGCAAATCGATGGAAGGGAGATAACTCTAAATCTGTGTTTCTTGTCAGCAAAATCTAGCGATGGCTACAAAAGGATTTGTACCCGTGCTTCAAACAATTCAAAATTAACATTAAGGTATTCGGTAAGATACATACGTCGTTCACTGGTCCCTCGGGGCCCATGAGTTGATGTACCCTCGATGCTTGTTTATGTTCCCCTCGCCCTTCGAGGGTACATCAACCAATGTTCCCCTCGAGACCAGTGAACAACTTATAATATAGTGCCACTGTCGGGCCAGCCTCTGTAAGCTCGCGTGGGTTCGCACAGTGATTACTGAGACGGTATAACATGTAGCAGTACTCCACTCAAGTGGAAATTGGTCCGCTGACATGGCCAAAGTCTATACTATGAACACATAATGTCTCTCAGAAAGTGGTCAGAGGAAACAAATGTTATATCTGGGATAACACTTTCTTTACACTTTGTCCAATTTCTACTACTTTGTTTATGGAGTCCTGTCCGTATTTAGAACAAGAAGGTATAATCCCGAATATAACATTTGCTAAAAGTGTATAGCATTCCACAGTGATGTTTCTTTCAGCCTCACCATAAATCCAGACAACACCGACACACTCCAATGTACAAAATAGTAGCACGGATAAGGCACCTAAATACCAGTCCAGCAGCTGGGATATGTAGGGGCCTCCCTGGAATGAATGAATTAAGGGTCTTTTTACCTAACTGAATATTCCCTGAGTAGTATAGGGAATAGCGGTACGGGACCACAAAGGTGCACCAAGCCTATAAGCTCCACACTAGTCAATTCGGCTCCCAGAGTAAAAAAAATAAATTTAGTGTTTTCCACAAAACTGCATTTGAGTTTTTGGACCACTTTTTGCTTGCATTGTTTTTTCTTTGTGGTTCCCAGTAGTCTATCCAACCCAAAGACAAAAACAAAAACAAAAACACCAGTTTGGTCGATGCAAGTGCACTCATATAAGGGTCTTTTTATCTAACTGAATATTCCCTGTAATGGGACCCTCTAATTTGATTGTGGCTTTTCTAACTGAATATTCCCTGTAATGGGACACTCTAATTTTATTGTGGCTTTTCTTGAAATGACACATCCGTTGATAGTATCAGGGTTGGCATGTCATTACACAGCAGAACCACACATAGCATATTCGTATGTTGGTACTAAGTAGTGGTGTGACAATTCTTCGACACGTATCGATGCATCGATCCATAGGCCGCCGATATAGTGAATCGATACAAAGTTTTACATTGTCACATATCCCAATACGATACTTCAAATGGGCCACGATTCATCGATGTTTAACTTTGAATATTGCCGAATCACGATATCTGTCAAGATATACTATATTTAAAATCAGCACAAAGTTCATTCTATTATGTGACTGTAATAAAAGCATTAAGTAACATGCAGATATCAAAGATGTTTTTGATCTATGTTTTCTGTTTATAACAGTATTATGTTTTATTTATTTTGTACTTGTTTTTAAAAAATGTGCCTAATGTAAAGTTTTTTTTTAAATTAAAGTTTCTTTCATTTAAACATTGTTTTTGTTTCGATCTTCAGGTGTTTTATAGTTGGTGTTAGAATTAGTATCGTGATACGTATCGTATCGCTACCATTATATCTGGATTCGTATTGTATCGCAGCTTTAGTGGACAATACTTTGGCAATGTATCGTCGTGACAAAATTTTTAGTATTGTGATGCATAGTATCGCATGTTGTATGCCAATACCATCACTAGTACTCAGGTGTCAATAATACTTTGTTCATTTATCTTCACAACAGTCACAGACTGACATAAATGTGTGGTTGTGACAGCATATAGATTTCTGAGGGTTCTATTTTTCTATTCTTCAGCATGGAGCTAAACATCGTCAAGGAAACCCAGACTATTTTAGCTGATCCACTGGATGATGTCTGTTCAAACATCAAGAGGTCGTGTATCCAGGGCAACGCTTTGTCCATTGTTGTCCAATTGTACGTAGTGCCCCGAGAAAGATACACATGCTTTCTAGACTGGACTCATTGTTGTAATCATCGCTCGACATATTTCTGTTAGAAATTGTATTCATTTCTGTATAACTGAATAAATTGTTTGGACTCAAAGTGAGTGAGTGAGGGAGTGAGTTAATATTTATCGTCACATCGGCAATATTTCAGCCATATCCTGATGGGAACAATTATTGTTATTATACAATTAGAAATTAAAAGTCCGTTGTTGAAGAACAGTAAAACTACAAGTATATCACCGATATTAAATTAAAACTAGCATTGGACTCAAAGTATTATTTATCTGCATTCTGAGCTAGCTCCAATGTTGACAGTTGTTATCATCGTGTCCTTACCTCTGTGCATAATATAATCCCAAGCAAGAAGCTTATCCCGCACACACCAGCTGTCACAAGATGGCGTCTTTTGGTTAAAGCGGCCGGATATTTGTCTACCAGGGCTGTTGTAAGGACCTCGACGTTCATAAACTGAAATCAATAGTCAGTTAAAGAGCATATAGATATAGCAATTACTAACTCACAAAATGTAGCACGGATCGTTTTCAATATTCATATTATATTTCGGATATCGAAAAAACATAGAAATATGAATAGAGGTATAAAATATTCTGAGTCGTTGTCATGATTGACATTTAATGAAGCCAAACTATAACTGATAACATAGAAAGATTTTCAAAGTAAAACAATGAATTAATATTGATTTTGTTTTCGAAATATGTGCATTCTTGAAGTTATACGATGATTTTAAATTCATACAGAATGTGCAGATTTACAAGCGTCGACCAGTCAGAAATGATACGATGATATTTTCACTCGTTCAGTGTGGTCGATCTTACCTGTGAATCAAGTCCGGCTGTAAGCAACACCAGGAAGAATAGAAATGACCAGACTTGTGGCATTGGAAGCTGGACTAAAGCTTCTGGGTACACAACAAAGGCCAATCCTGGACCTGCCAAGTATAGGTAACATAGTTCGAACATAGTTCTAAACTTTGGCAGCTGAAATATTTCAAACGTTCTTGAAAATAATACAAATATAATAACCATTCAAAGAAACTATGCTTTATTAAAATTTGATCTAAATTTAAAAACATAAAAAATGAAACCTTTCCTTTTAAGCCATAGTAGGATATTGAATGCAAGACCAGGATTACAATTAATTTTCAGTCATGCTTTCTGTTTGTAAAAATAATTATCATATCTTCTATTTTTGAGTGAATTCGGAGATAACCTTCTTTTGCACAGTAGTTTGGTATCAGTATGTTACCATTAGCGATTGCAAAGAATCCAATATTAACCTTAATTCAAGTTACTATCACAATACATTGACAAAAAACAAATCTAGTGCAGTTGCAGTGCTGATAACTGTGATCGTGTGACATAATCAAGTGCGATTAGTTTCAAGATTCTGGCATACAGTCGTCACAAAATCTCATGAGTATCTACAACAGAACACAATGTCAATATGTGGCGTAACCTCCTACAATTGCACTCACACCCCGGACCCTCCTACTCATTGGCCATATCAGACGTTGAATCTGACGTTGAGGTAGTGCGTTTCATTCTGGGTGGAGGGCTTGTTCCAGATACATAAATAATTTGTACTGGGTGATCTCTCTGACTTATTCTGAGACCCATTATGTCCCAAACATGTTCTATGGGATTGGGATCTGGACTCCAGGCGGGCCAAGGTTGAATTGTTCCCGCCTCTTGACGTAAGAAATCACCAACGGGACGAGCACCATGTGACCTAACATTGTCTTCCACGAAGACTGGCCATGTTTCAGAGGATGGTCAACGAAATGTGGTACAACAAGCCTGTTTAGGACTGACTGACTGAGTTTAGTTTTACGCCGCTTTAAGCAGAATTCCAGCAATATCACGGTGGGGGACACCAGAAATGGGCTTAACACATTGTGCCCAGCCTGTTTAGGATGTCAGTGATGCACCGTTCTCCATTTAGACTTTCTTTGATGGTCACAGGATCAAGTTTACAGTTATGTAAGAGTGAGTGAGTGAGTTTTGTTTTACACCGCTTTTCGCAATATTCCAGCAATATCACGGCGGGGTACACAGAAATGGGCTTCACACATAGTGCCCATGTGGGTAATCAAACCCGGATCTTCAGTGTGACGAGCGAACGCTTTAACCACTAGGCTACCCCAGCGCCCCAGTTATGTAAGAGGTAAACCCCCCACACCCCCTACTACCAATGATCCCCTGTAAAAGGCCTTTGCTCCGATGTTCTGCTGTGCATATGCACTGCTAAACACGAGGCCGGTCATCAGCGATGAACAAAAGATCAGTGCACCCTTTCCAATGACATCAAATTTCAAACTGTGTGCTAATTGTGATATAAAAATACCTTACTCGTTGGGTTTTAAAATCATAGCTGTTGTGATATCCATGTGTATATATTGTTTCACTGTGGATAGCCCCATTCTTCATTATACCATATAAATACTAGGATGTGGTCCTAAAACACCACCTGCTCCTACAGCAGTTCCTCTAATGTGTGATGTGGTATCTCCTGTCATGGCGGTAGCACTGAGACTGAAGCTGAATTTGAATGTGAGACAGATCCTGTGGACCTTACCCCTGAATAGTGTTGCAAACCCCTTTTGCACAATGTCACTCCTGTGCAATATTTTAAGTGTGTTATTCATATAGTGCCAACCTCGGAACAAATAGAGCCTTCGCGTCTTTGCGGAAACAATTGCCAACTGGTATACTTTAAAGCATGGCTGAAGGTCAACATAGGAAGGAATGTGATGTGATTGTTATGGAGGAGCATGTACCCATAAATTATATGTACAAAGTAAGTGACCCCCTTCCTTGTCATGTACTCATTGAACGCCCCCAATAATTTAAAAATATTTTTATGTACAAAATTGCTGATCCCCCTAGTTCCTGTGTACAACCTGTGATCTACATTCAGTTGTTGGCAATCTATGCCCTGTTTTATATAATTGTTTTGTCCTCTGTTGTTAAAATGTTTTAAATTTTATTACTAGTTTTAAAATCTATATCTGTGATAAGTTAGTTGTTTTAGTGTCCTTCGTTGACCGGTTTTTGTGATTTATCTTTAATTAATATAATTCTACACTTTGATTTAGTCACGATATGGCTGAAATACTGCCGATGTGACTGAAAATCTTAACTCACTCACTCATCTGACTCGACCTCATTACCCTTGACTTAGCCATTATACAAGGAAACATAGCACATTATGTATGTCAGGTTGATCACATTTTTACAAGAAATAGAAACAGCAGCATTTGTCATATCTATACTGGACAAAATAGCTAGGGATATATGTAAATTTTGAAATTATGAATACTGATCTATTTATTCATTGACACACTGATACAATATCAATCATAAAAATACCAATATCCCTAACTTATTTTGTCCAGTATACATATTTGCATCTGCATGTATTAAAAGTTGTGTTTTTCAGATATTATTAGCTTTTTTCTATATCCCGGTGTGTTTTCACATTTCCTTTTCGCTTTGGGCGATGAATCTAGGTGAAAACTACAAAGTATTCGACACAGCCATGTTCAAGAGTTCCACTGTATATTATGCAAATAATGATATCAATATCAGTCATGAATTCATTTGATAAACTAAAAAACGACAACCTTTTTGTATTAACATAAACTACGAGTATGGACCTATTGAATACTCACCACTGGAAACCACTCTTGAAATAGGAACACCAGTCTTCTCCGACATGACGCCAAGGGTGGCGAATATCACAAATCCAGCAAAGATGCTTGTTCCTTCTGATACAGCAGTCACGATGATGGCGTCTCTGATATATATAACATATTTCTGGGAGATAAGAGCAAGCTTTTCAACCACAGAATTTATGATAAGGCATGATATGGTGAAGAGGTTATAAAATTTACAATGTTTACCTTAAACACACTTGCGTTACAACTCGTATATGTACATCAGTCGCCTATTACGTTTCAAATAAATAAATAAATAAATAAATAATAAAATAAATAAATAAATAAATAAATAAATAAAATACATAAATAAATATATGACATGATGTACGGTTGAATTTGACTTGTATCATATGCTCCTGTGAAGGTGAACAAATGACTTGTGTATGCATGTGTCTATGATTGAATGCGCTTACCATTACACTTACACTATTTGCTAGTGATACGCATACTCATGAAAATTTATAGTTGGAACCGAGGTTTCCTAACAATAATAGTACGATTTACTTGAGACAGGGCTCATGGAACTGGCTGTAGCTGGAAGCAGTGCCAATCAGCCCCCAGCCCACTGTCAGAGAGAACATCACTTGGATACATGCCTCAAGCCATACCTGTTGAATAACGGAACTGACAATGTGATTCACTGTAAAACAGTTGTGATTGTAAGACACTGTTTCTGTTAAGATTCAGTAGAGTGAAGTGTGTGAGTGAGTGACTTTAGTTTCACACCGCTTTAGCAATATTCCAGCAATATCACGATCGGGGATACCAGAAATGGGCTTCACGCATTGTGGGGAATCGAACCCGGGCCTTCAGCGTGATGAGCGAACGCTCTAACGACTAGGCTACCCCTCAGTGTGTGATGGGTATGTATAAGCGTAATGTGTGAGATTTCAAGGTCACTTTGAACAGAACTCCAGCGTGTCGATTCCCCACAAGGGCACAATGTTTGAAACCCATTTCTGGTGTCCCTTCTCCGTGATATTGCAGGAATATTGCTAAGAGCGGCGTAAATTCCAACTCACCCCCACACACTAAGCTTATAAATAGCAAACATTACGTCATTCACATATTAAACTTAATATAACAATACCTCACTCACACATTAAAAGTATATATATCAAACATTACATCGTTCACAAATTAATCTTGTATATAGGAAACAACACCTCACTCACTAATTCACCTCATATACAGCAATCAACATTCAAACAGCCTTTCATCATTACGCTAATGACTTTAACACACCTGTGCGTGGAGGAGTCTACTGAAGTCTGGTGTGAGGTAGTACAGCAGACCAGCTCCAGCTCCCGGCAGCATCAGCATCCTTATGAAGATGGTCACCAGAAGAATGTATGGAACTATTGCCGTCACATACACAACCTTTGAACAGGATGAAATACCTTCAGCATCCACATCGCAAGCCCAACACAGTCTTTAGCAGCGTTACAAGTCGTTCGTTATGAAGTTTTACAAGCATTATGTTTTACAGTCAGGCCTAAAAACGTGAAAAAGCAGGTATGTGAGTGAGTTAATATTTAACGTCACATCGGCAATATCTCAGCCATATCGTGACGAAAACAATATATACAATAAAAAGTGAAAACATTTGGATGTTTAAATCCTGTCGACGATGGACAGTAAAAATACTATAGAATCACAGATATAAATATAAAACTAGCGAGCAAAGCTAAACCATTCCAATTAAAGAAGACAATACAGTATAAAACACAGGCTATAGATCGCCAACAACTGAAGTTAGATCACCATACTAGGAACCATGGGGACTTAGAGTACTTTTGCTACTAAAAGCAGGTATGTGTGCTGTCACAAGCAGTCCCATATACTGTCATAATCAACCCGACTTACTGCCACAATGAAGTCACACTCAATATATATGACGATTAGGCCTCAAAACTGTAAAAGCAAGGCATATAATCTGTCACAGGCATATTTAGCAACCAATCCGACTTACTGTCACTATGAAGCCTACATGCAACCAATCCAATAATCTGTAACAAACAGTCCTATATCCTGTAAAATCAGTCCTAAATTCGGATAACAAATTACATGTAAATAACGATCTCTGAAAGCATAAGAGAACATAAAAGCGGCCAAGATATTACACGTATGCCATACGGAAGCCGGCGTCGAATTTCTGGACGGGTGTAACTGTGTTTTTTTCAGAGACAGGATACGTTTGGGTCGCTGCGTCAAAACGAGCAGTTGTTTTGGGGACCGATAACCGATATTTAACGTCAGGTTAAGGCATTGTTTCCTGTATACTGTTTCACTACATTGTAAAATACTTCCTTCCTCAGTCAACTTCTTTTGACATCTTCAGGAAATACAATTTATTTACTGCATAAAACCAAACTAAGTCACAACGAATACCATTACTCACTCACACAAACACACGCGCGCGTCTACCTCGAAAACAAGAGTGTCCATACGTCTGTAAAACCATCCTCATCTTTCTAGGTATATAGTTCCAGATTATACGTACTTTCTCTATAGACTTTATTCCAGAAACCATGCAGAGACATATAATGATGCTGGAAGCAAAGAGACAGCCGACCATGTGCCACTGCACCGACCCAACCTCCTCCAAACCACTGGAAATACCTAGTGCGTTGTACCTACAACAGAAATGTCAGCCTTTAACTTCTGTGTTCTGCATATATGTGTCTGTATAACACACATATGTGTTGAACCTTTACAGAAGTGTTTGGTTTAATATTACCTTAGTGTTCTGTATGTATAGTGAGTGAGTGAGTGAGTTAAAATTTAACGTCACCTAGGCAATTTGCAGGCCATATAGTGACGAGACATGTTTTACATAAACAATAAATTTAAGTTGCTAAATAATCCGTCATCGAAGGACTGTAAAATAACAAGAGTATCACAGATGAAGTCTAAAACTAGCATGAACATGGAAAACTATTTTATTTACGAAGACAATACAATATAAAAACGGGCTATAGATCGCCAACAACTGAAGGTAGATCACCATACTAGGAACCATGGGGACTTACAGTGCCTTTGCTACCTGCATGGTCCATGTATATATAGTAGTGACGCACCCTTTTATATTCCGGTGATTCACAACATTTAGATACACAGTTAGCATTTGCACATGCCATGGGTCCAGAGACGCTCACCTTTTCGCAAACACATGGTATCGTGCTTATTTTGACAGAGATTCATAAACATATGTTCATGATATAGCCGGAATTGAACTATCGACTCTGCTTTTAGCACAGATTTCTTTATGGAATTGGAAAATGTTTTGTTGCTTTTTTACATGTTCGAATATTTGCTAATCGCATTAACCGTATCGTATCTTTATGGATGTAGAAAATGTTTTGTCGCTTTTATCTACATGTTCGGATATAAACTAATCGCATTAACCCGTATCGTATCGAATAAACGTATTATGTCACCATACTGCCAAAACTCCTCAGCAGCAGTATGAGCCAGTGTGTCGTTCTCCCACAACTCTCCCTCAAGACTGGATTCATTGCCTACAAATGCCCTGTTGCTGTTGAAGGTGCTAATCTTCACAGCTTCCACACACTGATCAGTGTTCCAGCTGTTGCCACAAGTTGTCCAGGGCAGAACGCTGGAACAGGACTTCACCATGTAATAAGTGGTCCACGCCAAGAGGACATTGTAGGTTGGGGTGAATGCTGTGCATGACATAATAGTACCTATGCCAACGCCTGAAAGTAAACCATAATGATATTTAAACATGACATTCGTCTTCGATCCCGTTTTGTGGCTAGTAAACGAAGCAGGATGCAGTGATTTATGTAAATGTTGTACATTTCTAATAATTATCAATATTTCAAGGCAGCAAGAAATTATTATTTCAAGCATATTAACCTTCTCTTGCCTGAAAAATGCAGTTTTACTTTCTACACTTCAAAGAGTACGAAATCCTTCCTAATGGACAATGGACAATATCATAACAGCTCATTTCTGAAATTGTCGTCAAAATCTGGGAGAATAGACCTTGTATCGTGCCAGTGGAAAGAACTCGGTCTAAAAAATAACAAGATAATAATGACATAAGTGAATTAACGAGAAAATAATCCAAAGCACCGATAAAAACATTGAAGCTACGAGATATTTTGCTACAAACTTTTTTATGCTACATAGATTAGGCTTTCATACCATTTAAATCCTTCCCGCAAAAAGGAATTTATGTTCAACTATAGACACGTATTTGTATAGACGTTTTGTCGAGATCTGGATGATGAGATGTGCCAACCTTTCAATATAGGACAAAAACTCCACACGCGAGGAGTTGCCATTCCCGAGAACTGAGAGAGGGCTGCCTCCAAGAAGAACATGGGGAATCCAATCACAAAGAGGCAGAGTAAGAACGGCAGGAGGAAAGCTCCTGTTGAAGAAACAAATGGATTCATTAGGATCTATATAAGACTACGTATTCAAGATAATGTATACAATACTCATGTGGGGTTTTGTTCTTTTTGAAGATTCGAGTTAACTTGTCTTTGGAAGCGACCGACATTATCGGGTAGTCAGTGTCGCTGATTTGGATAATGGAGGATGAGTGTCACGGCATAGATTATCTGGTGAAGACTCAGATATTCACGGGACTGCGGTCATGCAGCAGGAATGTCGTTGAACAATAAAGAAACGAACAAAGCGATTGGGTTTACCTCCACCGTTCCTGTTACAGATGTAAGGGAACCTCCACAAATTTCCAAATCCCACGCAACATCCAACCAAGGACAGAAGGTAACCCAGACGTGAATTCCACTTCATTCGTTGCTGTGGATCTGCACTGCAGCTATCGTCTTCAGATTTATCCTCAGTCATCTCGAACACTTCTACAGTATCATGATCATGGCAAGGATCCATTTTCTCAAGTCTAGGCCGTGCCATCTAGAAATGAATGAGATAACATGTCAGCAAATTTTAGTATGATGTTTTTCTCCTACAGACTACAGAAACGAAGGAGTACAAGGTAGGTTGTGCTCACTTGTCTGTGGACACTTGGCATCACCACTCTTTGGTTTATCAATTCAACTGACTGATTGAGTTTTCATTTTACGCCGCTTTTAGCAATATTCCAGCAACATCACGGCGGGGGACACCAGAAATGGGCTTCACACATTGTACCCATGTGGGAATTCGAACCCGGGTCTTCGGCGTGACGAGCCAACGCTTTAACCACTGGGCTACCCCACCGCCCCTCATCAATTCAAACCACCAAACAGTTGATAATTACAAACTGTTTACATGTAACTTCATAACTCCTTTTAAGCACGATATATCTGAATGATTATCTGCCGAAACGTATTCATGGAATATATTTGACATTTAAAGTTTCAGTTTTTCAGTTATAACGTGATCAGAACGCGTGATATATTAAACAATCTATAAATCAGGGCCTCCTTTCACAAAGCACTAAGGTGATCGTAAGCCACTAAGGTAACCTTAGTGCAGTGTTAAAGAATGGGAGTTAAGGTTAACCTTAGTAAAGGTTGCTTCGTCAAAGGAGCCCCAGACCTGTAATTAAAGGACAGCAAACTAATTGGACTGTCACAGGGTTATGTGTAAAACTAGTATATTTCCGTAGACTAGTTATAAGAATACATCATAAAAATGGGATTGTTAAGGATGTGGAAAGGGATTCAGACAACCACCAACCAAAGTTGCTCCATATATTGAGGACCATGGGAAATTAGTAATATGTGTGCGATCCATCTTGGCAATTATCAGTTCGTTAGTCAGTCAGTTAAAAAATTAACATGTGTGCGATTGAAGCCATGGAATGAGGAAAAATACTTTGAATGAAGTGAAACGTCTGTTCCTTGAATCGCCAATAAAACAACACCGCAATTTGATCTCTTCCTGGCATGACTGACAACCTCAGCCGACAGTAAGTTTAATTTCATGTTACCTATTGATACCTACATGGTTATTTGACTTATTTTTATCAGACTGTGATGAAATATCTAGTTTTCAGCCATTGTGTTACTATTGATTCCAACATGGCCGAGTAACAAACAAAAGAGACGTCGTGTTGGCTAGTATAGCAGTAAGATCATTTTGTTAGATTTTAAAGTGAAAGTCATGATCACGAGACAGAACAATGAACTGCTTAGATTTTGACTATTTACTGGTATCATTTGGAGAGTTTGCTTGACCATCAACAACATCTCTGACTTTATAGTGGAGTAAAATAAATTGTAATGGAGGAGCTTCTACCTTGTTGACCGAGACTGGCATCTAAACATGATCTAGTCACATGGTAGGCACCGTGCAATTTGATTGGTTGTCCTATGAAGTTTGTAACATCCATATTGCGGTGAATCTGGTCTGTGTACCTGCCCTACCCTGTTTGGAATCTTGATCACAGTCATGCTGAAGCGCTCGTAAAACTCTCAATCAGTGCGTCTATTGGGAAGCTAATACAGCTATTCATTTTGCTTTGCCTCAAATTCTAACTTACGTGAAGCCCTGGTAAAAAATATGCATTTTCCAGACCATACAGCTCTGTCAAACCACTAACCAAAGACAGACAAGACTAAACAAACATAATCACGGCCTCCATGGATGGATCTCCATCAGCAACGAGCTGGAGGGACCCGTGAAGATCATGGTTAGAACTGGTCTAAAGTAACCAATGCTTGTCGTAAGAGGCGACTAACGGGATCGGTGGTCAGGCTCGCTGACTTGGTTGACACATGTCATTGGTTCCCAATTGCATAGATTGATGCTCATGATGTTGATCAGTAAATTGCCTGGTCCAAACTCGATTATTTACAGACCGCCGCCATATAGCTGGAATATTGCTGGGTGTGGTGTTAAACATCAAACTCATGAGCTGGGGGTAGTGAGCCAGTTCCCTTCCCTCGGTCGACCATCGCAGAAATTTTCTCCTGGCAACCTTAAATTCAAATCGGACTGGAATAGTGCTCACCATCCCTTCCAAACTGACGGTGAGAGTGTAAAGAAGATGGAAACTGATCAAAGCTCACCAGGCATGTTGTCTACAGAATCGGCACTTCGCAGAAGGGCTGCGACTCTTGGACTGTCTCCTCCAGACAAGAAATGAGTGAGTGAGTTAAAATTCTAACGTCACCTAGGCAATATTTCAGCCATATAGTGACGAGACATGTTTTACATAAACAATAAATTTAAGTTGCTAAATAATCCGTCATCGAAGGACTGTAAAATAACAAGAGTATCACAGATGAAGTCTAAAACTAGCATGAACATGGAAAACTATTTTATTTACGAAGACAATACAATATAAAAACGGGCTATAGATCGCCAACAACTGAAGGTAGATCACCATACTAGGAAACATGGGGACTTACAGTGCCTTTGCTACCTACATGGTCCATGTATATAGTAGTGACGCACCCTTTATATTCCGGTGATTCACAACATTTAGATACACAGTTAGCATTTGCATTACGCCATGGGTCCAGAGACGCTCACCTTTTCGCAAAACACATGGTATCGTGCTTATTTTGACAGAGATTCATAAACATATGTTCATGATATAGCCGGAATTGAACTATCGACTCTGCTTTTAGCACAGATTTCTTTATGGAATTGGAAAATGTTTTGTTGCTTTTTTACATGTTCGAATATTTGCTTATCGCATTAACCGTATCGTATCTTTATGGATGTAGAAAATGTTTTGTCGCTTTTATCTACATGTTCGGATATAAACTAATCGCATTAACCCGTATCGTATCGAATAAACGTATTATGTCACCATACTGCCAAAACTCCTCAGCAGCAGTATGAGCCAGTGTCGTCGTCTCCCACAACTCTCCCTCAAGACTGGATGCATTGCCTACAAATGTCCTGTTGCTGTTGAAGGTGCTAATCGTCATAGCTTCCACACACTGATCAGTGTTCCAGCTGTTGCCACAAGTCGTCCAGGGCAGAACGTTAGAACAGGACTTCACCATGTAATAAGTGGTCCACGCCAGGAGGACATTGTAGGTTGGGGTGAATGCTGTGCATGACATAATAGTACCTACGCCAACGCCTGAAAAAAAACCATAACGATATTTAATCATGACATTCGTCTTTGATCCCGTTTTGTGGCTAGTAAACGAAGCAGGATGCAGTGATTTATGTAATGTTGTAAATTTCTAATAATTATCAATATTTCAAGGCAGCAAGAGATTATTTCATGCATATTAACATCTCTTGCCTGAAAAATGCAGTACGAAATCCTTCCTAATGGACAATGGACAATATCATAACACCCCATTTCTGAAATTGTCGTCAAATTCTGGGAGAATAGACCTTGTATGTATGTACCTTGCTACATAAATTAGGCTTTCATACCATTTAAATCCTTCCCACAAAAAAGGAATTTATGTTCAACTTTAGAAACGTATTTGTATAGACGTTTTGTCGAGATCTGGATGATGAGATGTGCCAACCTTTCAATATAGGACAAAACCTCCACACACGAGGAGTTGCCATTCCCGAGAACTGAGAGAGGGCTGCCTCCAAGAAGAACATTGGGAATCCAATCACAAAGAGGCAGAGTAGGAACGGCAGGAGGAAAGCTCCTGTTGAAGAAACAAATGGATTCATTAGGATCTATATAAGACTACGTATTCAAGATAAGGTATACAATATTCATGTGGGGTTTTGTTCTTTTTGAAGATTCGAGTTAGAACTGGTCTTCAGTAACCCATACTAGTCATACGAAGTAATTATGCTTGTCTTTGGAAGCGACCGACATTATCGGGTGGTCAGTCTCGCTGATTTGGATAATGGAGGATGACTATCACGGCATAGATTATCTGGTGAAGACTCAGATATTCACGGGACTGCGGTCATGCTGCAGGAATGTCGTTGAACAATAAAGAAACGAACAAAGCGATTGTGTTTACCTCCACCGTTCCTGTTACAGATGTAAGGGAACCTCCACAAATTTCCAAATCCCACGCAACATCCAACCAAGGAGAGTAGGTAACCCAGACGTGAATTCCACTTCATTCTGTGCTGTGGTTCTGCACTGCAGCTATCGTTTTCAGATTTATCCTCATTCATCTCGAACACTTCTACAGTATCATGATCATGGCAAGGATCCATTGTCTCAAGTCTAGGCCGTGTCATCTAGAAATGGATGAGATAGCATGTCAGCAATATCATATTCAAATTTTAGTATGATGTTTTTCTCCTACAGACTACAGAAACGAAGGAGTACAAGGTAGGTTGTGCTCACTTGTCTGTGGACACTTGGCATCACCACTCTTTGGTTTATCAATTCAACTGACTGATTGAGTTTTCATTTTACGCCGCTTTTAGCAATATTCCAGCAACATCACGGCGGGGGACACCAGAAATGGGCTTCACACATTGTACCCATGTGGAATTCGAACCCGGGTCTTCGGCGTGACGAGCCAACGCTTTAACCACTGGGCTACCCCACCGCCCCTCATCAATTCAAACCACCAAACAGTTGATAATTACAAACTGTTTACATGTAACTTCATAACTCCTTTTAAGCACGATATATCTGAATGATTATCTGCCGAAACGTATTCATGGAATATATTTGACATTTAAAGTTTCAGTTTTTCAGTTATAACGTGATCAGAACGCGTGATATATTAAACAATCTATAAATCAGGGCCTCCTTTCACAAAGCACTAAGGTGATCGTAAGCCACTAAGGTAACCTTAGTGCAGTGTTAAAGAATGGGAGTTAAGGTTAACCTTAGTAAAGGTTGCTTCGTCAAAGGAGCCCCAGACCTGTAATTAAAGGACAGCAAACTAATTGGACTGTCACAGGGTTATGTGTAAAACTAGTATATTTCCGTAGACTAGTTATAAGAATACATCATAAAAATGGGATTGTTAAGGATGTGGAAAGGGATTCAGACAACCACCAACCAAAGTTGCTCCATATATTGAGGACCATGGGAAATTAGTAATATGTGTGCGATCCATCTTGGCAATTATCAGTTCGTTAGTCAGTCAGTTAAAAAATTAACATGTGTGCGATTGAAGCCATGGAATGAGGAAAAATACTTTGAATGAAGTGAAACGTCTGTTCCTTGAATCGCCAATAAAAAACAACACCGCAATTTGATCTCTTCCTGGCATGACTGACAACCTCAGCCGACAGTAAGTTTAATTTCATGTTACCTATTGATACCTACATGGTTATTTGACTTATTTTATCAGACTGTGATGAAATATCTAGTTTTCAGCCATTGTGTTACTATTGATTCCAACATGGCCGAGTAACAAACAAAAGAGACGTCGTGTTGGCTAGTATAGCAGTAAGATCATTTTGTTAGATTTTAAAGTGAAAAGTCATGATCACGAGACAGAACAATGAACTGCTTAGATTTTGACTATTTACTGGTATCATTTGGAGAGTTTGCTTGACCATCAACAACATCTCTGACTTTATAGTGGAGTAAATTAAATTGTAAATGGGGGAACTTCTGCCTTGTTGATCGAGACTGGCATCTAAACATGATCTAGTCACATGGTAGGCACCGTGCAATTTGATGGGTTGTCCTATGAAGCTTGTAACATCCATATTGCGGTGAATCTGGTCTGTGTACCTGCCCTAACCTGTTTGGAATCTTGATCACAGTCATGCTGAAGCGCTCGTAAAACTCTCAATCAGTGAGTCTATTGGAAAGCTAATACAGCTATTCATTCTGCTTTGCCTCAAGTTCTAACTTTCGTGAAGCCCTGGTCAAACATATGCATTTTCCAGACCATACAGCTCTGTCAAACCACTAACCAAAGACAGACAAGACTAGACAAACATAATCACGGCCTCCATGGATGGATCTCCATCAGCAACGAGCTGGAGGGACCCGTGAAGATCATGGTTAGAACTGGTCTAAAGTAACCAATGCTTGTCGTAAGAGGCGACTAACGGGATCGGGTGGTCAGGCTCGCTGACTTGGTTGACACATGTCATTGGTTCCCAATTGCATAGATTGATGCTCATGATGTTGATCAGTAAATTGCCTGGTCCAAACTCGATTATTTACAGACCGCCGCCATATAGCTGGAATATTGCTGGGTGTGGTGTTAAACATCAAACTCATGAGCTGGGGGTAGTGAGCCAGTTCCCCTTCCTCGGTCGACCATCGCAGAAATTTTCTCCTGGCAACCTTAAATTCAAATCGGACTGGAATAGTGCTCACCATCCCTTCCAAACTGACAGTGAGAGTGTGGAAGATGAGGAAACTGATCAAAGCTCACCAGGCATGTTGTCTACAGAATCGGCACTTCGCAGAAGGGCTGCGACTCTTGGACTGTCTCCTCCAGACAAGAAAAAATAGCAACGCCTACTTCATGCGCAGCCTGGTGTGCTGTCTCGGATCTAGCTTGAGCTGCGACGAAGTCAAGACCAAGTTTTACTCCTGCCACGATCCAAAGCCTATTCCCCTGCTGAATGAGTGAGTGAGTTAAGACTTTACGTCACATCGGCAGTATTTCAGCCATATCGTGACTGTATCAAGTTATATATTAAAAATGATTTTAGGTAAAGAATAACCTGTCAACAAAGGACAGTAAAACAACTAGACTATCACAGATATAAATTTTAAAACTAGTAATTAAATTTAAAACATTGTAACCATACATGAGAAGACAATATAAAATTAGGCTATAGATCACAAAGAACTGAAGGTAGATCACTAAACTAGGAACCATGGGGACTTAAAGTACCTTTGCTGCCTGCATGGACCCTAGCTGGAGTAACACCATCCCTTGAGCTCCATAATTTAAAATAACAAATATTCTACGTTTAAAAAGCGTGGTTGAGCTAAATTGACTGAAAGTTTTGGGACTTACGTACCTCCACATCAAACAACACTCACTTCACGAGCCTGGCTTCAACTCAGCACTATTTGCTTGAACGTGTAGACTTTTAGCTAATCACACAACGTTGTTATAATATTCGTACTTTCAGTGAACTTTTCAGAACAGTTTCTAGCCACCTGGTTTTAGCAAATTTAAAAGAAATAATAAAATATAGATTTGTATCTCAAAGTCAGTTTTTACCCTTGAATGTGATATGTGACTGAGAATTTTAAACATGAACACCATTTTCATGTGATAGGTAACACATAGTTTATTATTTATCATAGTAGTTTATTATTATTTATCATAGTAGTTTATTATGACATTTCTCACCGCGATTAGCTGCAACATTGCTCATGCAGCGTTAAGAAATATTTACTCACTCACTCTAAGACTGAAAACTTCTTTCAAAGTTCAAATACAGAATATAGATTAACAACAACATGAAGCATGACACGTTAGTTTGAGTGAGTGAGTGAGTGTGTTAATATTTATCGTCACATCGGCAATATTTCAGCCATATCGTGACGAGAAAAATTAATGATTATATACTGAATATCATTGAAAACGCAATACCTGTAAATTTTGAAATATGGTAATAGGATTGTTTTGAGAGTGAAAATGAACGTTGGAAATGTCGTTAATAACACAAAAGACAATAAATAATGCTATACAGTAAAGAACGGATTGCCCGAACACATCATGGAACACATCACATGACAAAAACAAAATTCATGCACAACACACACGAAAAGCACAAATTGCATGCGTAAAATATGCTGATTAGGGGTATAAATGACCGTCGGCAAAAAAAAACGTTCTCATTTTAGCTGTACCTCCGCAAGTAAAGTTTATTGTGCAATGCCAAGATTGTCACCAGAGGAACGAGAACGGGCGTTGGGCATGTTGCAGATTGGCACATCAAGCAGGATTATTGCCAGACGATTTGGTTGCCATCATTCCACCATCATCAGACTTGCCAACAGGTACCAACAAACAGGAACCACGAGGGACCGCCAACGTCATGGCCAGGCACGTGTTACCACCCCTCGCCAAGATCGAGACATTGTTCGGCGCCATATTCGGGATCGTACGTTGCCGGCTGCCAGAACCGCCAACGCTGTCCAAGACCGACGTGGTTTGATCAGTGCTTCCACCGTCCGACGCCGTCTCCGTGCGGCAGGATTACGGTGTCGACGCCCTCATGTTGGACCCATCCTGACTGATAGACATCGCCGTGAACGCTGACAAAGGGCTGAACAGCTTCTTTTGTTGTTGTTACGACGTTGGCATGGTGTTGTGTTCTCCGACGAGTCACGTTTTCACTTGCCAAATGCTGACGGGCGTCTACGGGTATGGCGTCGACGGGGAGAACGTTACCATCAGGACTGTGTTGTGCAAACAGATCGGTGGGGTGGAGGAAGCATTATGGTGTGGGGAGGGGTCAGTTATCATCACAAAACCGCTCTGGTAGTTTGTCGTGGCAGAGTGAATGCCCTTTACTACCGTGACACCATTCTTCGGAACAACGTCGTTTCCTTCTTTAACCAACATCAAGATCTGCACACATTCCAGCTGGACAATGCTCGAGCGCACACTGCACGTGTTGCAACACAGTTTCTAGCAAACAACATTCCTCTACTTCCATGGCCTGCATGTGGGATTACTTCGGCCAACGCCTCTCACGTCGCCCACAGATCAACAACCTTTGGGAACTTGAGAATGCCTTGCAACAAGAGTGGAATGCATTGCCTCAAAACAATATTCAGAGACTTATCAGTTCAATGAGGAGACGTTCCACAGCTTGTGTTGCTGCTAATGGTGATCATACACGTTACTGACTTTCCAATTTGACTCCATCCTTCTTTCATGGTCAGCTGAATAAAAACTTCACTGTTTTGCTGGATTGGTTCTTGTTTCTTTTCTTTACCAATCATTGGACTACAAAAGTATGTAAAATTTACACCGATTGCTCATTTATGCTCTTGGAAATCCAAACTAATACAGGTGGTGCTTTTCCAATGATGTTCAGTATATCATATATCAATACAATTAGAAATTAAAACCTGTTGACGAAGAACAGTAAAACTACTGCTGTATCACAAATATCCATTTAAAACTTGTAATGGAATCTAAACATGTTAAGTAGAAATGACAAGACAATGTAAAAACAGGCCAACAACTGAAGGTTAACCTAGATCACCATACTAGGGA